CCCCAAAACCCCAAAACCCCCCAAAACCCCAAAACCCCACATTAAGATTATTATTTATCAATTAATTTGATAGGAAATAATTAAAATAATGGAGGTTAAATTATAGTAGAATCATAATTCAAGGACTAATTATCAGTCGACTCAACAGACCACTCATGTTACATATCATGAGTCAGTGCAAATAGATGAAATTTAGTAATAACAGCTAGCTTATAAGCAAGAGTAATTGAGTCATAATCTCTATAATTTGAATTATCATCAATATGATTCTCAAAAAGCATTTATTGAAAGACTTCTCAAGATATTAGAAGAGAAGGAGGTTATTGAGTTAGCTGATATTCCCCTTGAATAAATTTCTTAACATCAAAAAGAGCAATAAGAGATACATAACTTACAAATGCAGTTATAGGAGAAGTACGAGCATATATAGAGACTTGAGAAAGCAGACAATATCATTTTACAAAAGAAGCAGGCTGAACTCGAAAGAATTCAGGAATAAAATATCCTTGTAAAACAGCAAAATGAAAGTTTCAGAACATAATATGAGCAAGTCTATGCTATAAATTACAACCTCAAATAAAAGTAGGAATAAGATGAAAGATTAATCATAGAGTAATCAGAGGAATTAAATAGGCTTAGATAGTAGAATGCCTATTTATAGCAAGAGAAGTCATAGTAAGATTAGCAGATTAGAGAAAAAGAGGCTGTGGCTAATAGTACTTAAATGAGACAACAGGCTTAGATTGCTGAACTTCAAATGCAGATTAAGGATATATAGAGATTGTCAGAATCTTAATATATGGAATAAGAAAGAAGCTCTGCTTAAAAGCTTAGTGGATATATGGGTATCAAGGATAGAATGGATTAGCTCTAGTATGATTATGATTCACTAAATGAGAAATATCAGCAAGAAGTAAGACAGAGAGAATTACTCTAGAAGGAGAAGGAATTGCTAATGAATGATGATTAAAGGCTTTAAAAAGAGATTCAGAACTTAAAATTATTAAAGGAACAAGATGATGCTGAATATTTGAGACTTATGACAGACTTAGAAGGCTAGATTGATCTTTAAAATAAAACAATCGTATAATCTTAAAAAGAAACCTAGTAAAAGTAAGTCATCATTGAATAGAAAAATAAAGAAATCGAAGAGCTGAAAAGACAATCGTCTGAACAAGAGAGAGCCATGATCACATAGGAGGGCCAGCTCTATAAGGAAAGTAACACCAAGATGGAGAGACAGAAATTGCAATATGAGACTTAGATTAAGCTATTAGAGAATCTAAATCAGGAAAATATCAGAAGAGAGTAGTTGAAAAATGTGAATGAGCTGAAAGCAAAGGATGAAGAGATTGCAAGATTGCAAAGGAGAATAGACATGTATCAGATTGATCAAAGTGATAAAATGAGATATGAAATCGAAAACTTGAGAATTGAGCTAAGTAAGCAAAGATATGAAAATGCAAAACTAGAGAAGTAGCTAAATGAAAGGCAAAAGACATAGTTAACTCAACCAAAGATTTAAAGCAATTAAACAGAAGTTATAGCGACAAGAACAAATATTAGACAATAAGCTTGAGAGATTAGATTAAGGGAATTTAAGGTTTTAAATGCTAGGAATAGAAGAAATTATTTTATCCATAATCTTTATTTCATGAATTTAGCAATAATAATCTGCAGGGGTTTTGGGGTTTTGGGGTTTTGGGG